GGTGATTATAATTGGCTGGATCTGGTACATGTACCATGGATCTTCGCTCGCTCCCTCCCGCAATTATTGTTGGGGGGAGGTGCATCGGAGATAAAGATTGGGATTGGAGAATGGATGCACCTACCCTTTTTGTCTTTGTGATAGGTATCAATTTTTATTGGCCTCCAGACACAAGTCAATCGGTCAATTGGACAATTGGATTGTGTCGTTTGCTGGTGTCGCTTTTGCTCCCGTCGGGTTGGAACGAAGACGGCGGCGGTAGCTAGCGAACCGATCCGGATTCTGGGTGAGTGGTGCGAACGATAAAACAATAAGGTAGTCTCTCAAATAAGAGTGAATATTCTTATGGAAATAAAGAACGTCCAGACGAAACACCACAAGGTATTAATCCAAGTTGTGTCGGGCAGCAGCGAGGTGGAAGGAGAGAACCAGAGGGAGAAGGAGATTTATGTAAAGATACAATTCGTAGATAGATAGGTAGGTAAAGGCAACCGTGTGATATGGGCAATTTTGAAGGAATCAGAGGGAATCGAAACCACAGTAGATAGATGCAGGATGAAAAGAGAGGATATTGGGAGGAGGAGCTTGATATTTATTCTTTCTGCTTGCAAAACCGTTCAACAACCTCGTGCAACAATGAACTTTTAAACGGACAGACCTCACGGCACGGGACCGACTGCCATCCCGCACTGAGAAACGGATCGATCTGATGGATCCTGTTCACACCATCTCACTTATTACCCCTGTCATTGTCCAGGGCCATGCCAAGATGATATGATCGCCAATCAAAAAGAAAAAAGGAAAGAGTATCCGTTGGTACGGTAGAAATGCAAACATGTATTCCGTAAATTTACAGAAAAGCTAGGATTCAACCGAGACTTTAAATTTTCGTTTCAAGCCACGGGCCATTAACGTTACCCGCTCGTCTACGCGGCGCATTATTCCCAGTATATTTCTGACGGCATGAAAATGGTGCAAGTGCAGAATTCCCGGCATTCATTCGACCGTTCGCGTGATAGTTACCGAACCAGAAAAAGAAGTAACATCGTGGAGAAAATGTAACGTGCGAGAATGGCGAAAAAGTCAAGTGACAACAACCGTCTGCACGGCGAATGCGTGTCTGCCTCGCCGGCCTTGCAGGGCGGTATGAACGAGGCATAGTTCATCATGGAGAACAAAGAAAAAAGTCTGTTGAGGGGCGGAAAACGGGCCACTGTCACCGTCACCCCCCTTCTGTCTTCTTTTTTGACGCACCCGACACACCTGCAGGTCCTATATGCACACAATTGTACCAAACCATCATAAATCCAATTGGCCGCGTCCGATTGGTTCCCCTGTTCAATAGGTAGTCTGCGACGATGCGAAACTGCATTGGCATCGGCCCATTTTACTCACACGACATCATTTGGAGAAAATTTTTCTCGACCCTCTGCATTTCCCATTTGTCAAATTTCCCAAGATCTGCATTGCTGCTACACCAGCGGCCGCCCGATTTCTGCAGTCATTTTTTGAGAAGCTTGGTATTAGTTCGTTTCAGGAGACCGGACGATTCCAATGGCAGATCACTGCAACTGCCACCTCAAACCTGGGTTGCAGATTGTTTCAAACAGCTGCCCAATTACATTTCAACATTCACTCAAAACGAACACGTGCATCATATATAATTCAAAAAAGATGTTGAAAAATTTGGTTCATCAAAAGAATACGAAGTTTCAGATTGGAAGCACTCGAAGACGAAGAGAAAAAATGATGTCATCAGTCACAGGGCTGATATTACAGGGTGCAAGGGTCTAGGCCTGAGTGGACCCTTTTCATGCAGCTGGATTTGACAGAAACAAAATCTCTCATCTGCAACTTATCGGGCTTGGCTCCATCATCCGTGACATTTCAAAATGATAGATTTCTGCAAGCGCTCGTGTTTGTCTCCTCTTTTATTTTATTTTCCAAGACATACATATGCAGGGGAAAAGGGCTTACGAGTCTCGTTTTTTTTTTTTTTACAGATGCCAAGAAGCAGCCTAACAAGCTTCTCAGCAGTGGACCGCACCAGGCAGGAGGAACATGGGGGTAACATCCGACCACTTGTCAATTTGACGGGACAATCACGTTTTTTGTGAGGCATTGCGCAATCATTCATCGGAATCAAGGGGGTTTCCGTTCTCTCGGAAAATGGTCAAAAAATGAGCGAGCCTGTCCGGGCCTTTCCACAGCTCCACCCTGGCAGCGATCAACGCCAGCAAATGCCAGCATTTGGCATGTATCAACCGACATACACATATTCCGTACATACACATTGCATATCTACAGGCCACGCAACAAAAATATCCGTCGACGCATGTGCGTTTGCATCTCAGCTATCATGCACCACCTCATAATTGACCTCGGCACCGTCCTCATCTGTTAGATTGCGCGGCATCAGAAAAATTTTGTTTTTTTTTGGATGACGGATATTTGGCAATCCGAAACACTGCATATTGGGGGCTGGGCAACGGAAGTAAGAAAAAAAAATTACAATTACAGATTTAACAGAGTTGCGGGGTCGGAAAACAGACCTACATTAGGAATCAGCAGCCGAGGCATTGGGGGAAAGTTTTTGGATGCTGACACTCCCGAGGTCCTCCGCTGTGGTACAGAAGAGAAAAAAAACCACGCCTCGAGGGCACGGTACGGAGTTTAGCTGGGTCATAAAGTACTTTTGTTTACCCTGCCCAAGTTTCTTCAAGGCGTAAACGCCGCGCGGGATACCAGATCGCTCCATCGTGGGACAAGACGCAAGGTACAGACACCAAGAAGCCCAATTGAGTCCTGCAGGACTGCCTGGGCTTGAAGTCCTTGACGGTGAGGCATGTATGCTTGTGCTTAAAAGGGAAATGGAATTTGAAGAAAAAAAATTCCTCAGGGGTTTTGGATTAATTCCTAACTAATCTGTCAGTCAGGTATCAGTACGATACTCAGATTTCGGAATATTTCATCACCAAAGTGACACTCGGCTTTTAGGATCATTAATTCCAATTTTAAGGGAGTTATGTGCCGTTACCCATCTTTGAGGAAAACGGTGATTGCGAGTTTCCTTTCTGGCTAACCCCCATCAGAAAAGTCAGGCTACCCATCCCCAAAACCCAGGTTCCGGGGGAATTGTTTCCAGCTTCCCAACACCCAGATCCAATTTATTCGACATGTCCTCAACAATTTTTTTGTTTCCTGATTCCGCCTCGACGCCTCAGCCAAGCAATACTGCTGGTACCCGTCCCCATCCAATATGCACCCTTCCGTTCACGGCCACCTGCTTCTTTCGCGATGATGCATCAAACCGCATTTGTACGACGATCCAGTAGGTATTATTGCGCCGCCTCGAGGCCACGTCTCGTACCCTCCGGACACATGCATCCCGAAACTCTGCACTTTTGTTTTTTTACAAAATCTGCCGCTTGCCGAGACTCAGCTGGTTGTTCTGCCGTAACGGTTTGAGGCGGCGTGGCTGCATCAAACACCTTACTTTGTGCGGATAGCGTCAGAGGATTACGAGGTTTTCAAAACCCCAACCCAGGTTTGTTTTCTTTTTGCCGTAACGTGGGATCGAGACATACGTTTACCAACCGGCACGCAGAGATTTGTTTTCTCGGGGTTGTTGCCCAAATACGGGTGTAGCGTGATACATTTCGATCTGTGTTTGCAACGGAGGTTATCTGCCGTGGGGGCGATCATCTGTGCATTTTCAGACCAACCTAGAACTGCCAGGGATGTGACATATTTGTTTGGACCTACAGTTACGGATACAACTCTTGTACTTCGTATATTCCGTATTCACAGACCCCAAAAGATTTTGCCCCGCATACGAAGTATCGATATCAGAACCAACCAACCAAACCCCAGCAACCATTTGTTTTTACCAACGCCCCGGAATTTCCATCTGCACAACATGATCGTCTGCAATGCATCGATGCCCAAGGAGGCAGGCAAACCACTCATATTTCCTTCCTTTCTTTTTTCTACATTCGGAATACACAAAAAAGAAACTGAATTGGTTCGGCCTGCAACTCGGGGATATTCTTTTACTCCAAACCAAGTAAACCATTTTGCTGGTCCGGTTGGACGATTCGCTCGAATCGGCCCCCGCCCCCTCTCACGATACACAAGCGGTCCGAATAACACACCATTAACGCCGTCGGCAGAATTTGAGTTTAGGTATGTATGCCTGATGAATGAGGCTCTTCTCTTGACTCTTTTGTGGTTATGTGAGACATTCTATTTTTTCAGCCTTGCGGATTAGATGTCGTTCTTCTTTTGCAGAAGAAGTCCGAGGAATGTATGTGTCAATCCGAGGGTCGCACGTGTCGGATTGTCTCGGTTTTTTGTCTACAGTAAGGGTGCGTATGTATGCGACGTTTTTTACATGATTGTTTAATGATATACCTACGGATCCGTATGTATCTTTTATACTTTTTTACGAAATCCGAGCATTGTGTGGCAGAGTCCGAGATGAGCACGTGCCAAGGTTGTAGATTTCGATCTGGGGGCGGATACACCAAATGCTTGGTTATAGGGCGCAGTTTTCACTAACTTGGTGCCTAGGTTACCTTTTTCCTGGAGGTTTGAGCGTTGGAAGTCCGAATGTTGTACGACAGAGTCCGATGGATGCACGTGGTGCTGTTGTTGAGGTCGTAGGGTTTCACCGAGAACAATTCTTGTTTTAATCCGTATACCGACGAAAATGCGAATTGATGGATAATAGATAGAATACAGGGTTTATGTAATGCGTATACACAAAGTGTAGTCAACCAGACAGTTGGTTCAAAAAGAGTCCGAGGTGAGTCCGAGTTTGCGCCGTCATACCAACAACACACATCTATCCTCATAATGAATGAATCACTATTAAACACTTTCTACTATACTACTAGAATCACTCCCTCATGAGATAAAAAAAAATAAGGAAGCGTCGAAAACTCCACACAAAGACAGATTAACAAAATAGCAAAAAGAAGAAAAGAAGAAAAAATATTAGGTCTTGCCCGGAATCGAACCGGGGTTGCCGGAATTTTTTTTCTGACAATTTAGAATCAGAATCCGGAGTGATAACCGCTACACTACAAAACCGTGTCAAACAAGCTTTGAATAGGTGTTACTGACCAGTCACAAAAATTTAATATAAATAGGCAGGCTTTCGAGGGAGGCAGACAGTTTTGACGTTTTAGGTAATTGAGGGATAAAGAAAACAAAAGAAAGCTTTGTTGGATTAGTTGTAAGTTATTAAATGAGATTGGCTGATGAATGCATTTTTGGCATTGAACTGCATGCGGATAGATATTCAGCAATTTGTCAATTGAGTTGACTATAACGTGTGGATTGTCTGTTGTGTAATGTTTGTGTGATATCGAGAACATACTTGTCAAGTGACATACATACATAGCCTTGGGACGGGAAAGATATGTAATGGCTCTGCAAGATTACTACTCCCAAAACTCCATTTCCCCAGTTTATACTTGAATAGCTGATCAAGATGTATTGCAACTGCATACATAGTGCCTCATCAATGTGAACGTTAAATCCTATAACTTATGCAGGACGCCCTTGACACTGTTCACACAAAAATATTATTAAATGCTTTTGTCAAGTAAAAAACGCATTCTCATTTAAAAGACTCTTGAATCAAGACGGCAATAAAACCACCTTCCCTCATATTAACTCAGATAACTTACCCCTGAACCAACTTATGCACCTCCTCCTCAAAATCCTTCATCAACGGTCTAACCAACGGATCAGCAGGCTGCAAAACCTGCGTACCAAAAATTCCCGCAACACCAGCAATCCGATCGATAAACTGCACAAACCTCAAAGTTAGCCATCTCTTCCCCATCCATCAACTGTGTATATACTCACCCAAGCCAAATTAAACACCCCACCCCACTGCAAAAACCCTTTCCTCCTTCCCTTCCCCCCTTCCTCGGCATCCTCAGTGGTAACCAACCCTCCAACTCCCCAATCATATTTTCCCCCATTATCAGGAACCCACCCTACAATCCACCCCGGATTCCTCACACTCTCCTTCAACCCTTCTTTTGCCTTATCCTCCTTCAACAGTCCCTCAAACAACATCTCCACAGTCTCACTCTTCAACAGTTTTCCATCATCCCTCAACAAACTCTCCATAACCTTCATATACCCTCTCAAATCCGCATAAGCCCCTTCCCCTCCCATTTCATCCATTTTTTCCTCAGTATTTCCCCCCTCCTCTCCTCCCCCCCAACCAGGAAATACTTCCACTGATTTCCCCTCTCCCCATCCGGGATACCCCTCCACCTTTCCCGTTTCCTCATTTCTATTCCCCATTCCAGCCACCTTCACATGACTTGACGGATAAAACGTAATTCTATCCCTCTCAACCCCAACTTTACTCAAAATTTCCTCTCTAACCCACTCATCCAATCCTCCTTTTCCTCCAACCCTCCTAACAATCTCCCCAACCCAATCCATCCCACTCCCATAAGCCCATCCTTCCCCCGGTTCAAACAATAATGGATATCCAAACCTTCCTACAACAGTTTTCCCCCCAACAGGACTCAACGGCATCGGTAGTTGTTTTCCAGTCTTTTCAAAATACTTTTTCAAATTCTCATCCAAAAATACGTAGGAAGTTCCCGAAGAATGAGATAATAAATGTCTCAACAAGATGGAATTCTTGCGTTTTGTTAGGATTGGTTCCCCCGTTTCGGTATCAAACCCCGTAAGGATAGGTTGCGAGCTTAACTCGGGTAATATCTCTGCAACATCAGTCTCAAGGGTGATTTTTCCTCGTTCAACAAGTTGAAGGATTGCGATTCCAGTAAGGAGTTTAGTCATTGATGCCAAGGTAAATACTGTGTCGAGGGTCATGGGGATTGGCTGAGGGGTTGCGGGCGGGAGATGGGAATAGCCTAGGGCGGTTGAGTAGTTGAGTTTGCCTTTTACAACATCAACGTTAGTAAAAGAAATACTAGAGGAGGGGACGGGAGACAAAATACCATCTTTAGAAGTTGCTAGGATTACGGCACCGGGGATTATTCCCTCGTCTATGGCTTTTTGGATTCTGGATTCGAAAGCTTGGGTAGGCATTTTGATGTTCAAGTATCGTCTGTGATGGGTTGGTTTGAGTAGGTAACAGATGTGAGGGTTGAGGTTCGAGATAGCTTCCTTATATATATATCATCCTCGGCTTGAACTGAGGGGAAAGCATGCGGGGTCCGGCCCGCGTTGTCGTTTCGGCAGATGTTATAGTCCCCTCAATGACGGGTTCAAAAATAGCGTCGTGCGGGGATTCTTTTCATCATCATACAAATATTCTCGGAGATAACAAGTCACAGGAGGGGTTTACCTTGCATACATATATTATAATTTATTTTGTACATGTAAATACTAACAGAGATAATAGATATTGACAGGCAAAACGAAACAGAGAAAGTCGACGCAATTCGTGCTAAAACATTCACAAAAAAGACAAAAAAGGCCAACGAAACCAAAAAAAAGTAATGTCAAATAAAGCAAAGGGTATAAATCCCACACTCTTCCTTTCTCCTCCTCCAATTCCAAAAAAAGTTCCCTTCCCCTATTCTCATACGTGTAAAAATCGTATTGTACCAAAGAAAACACACCCTAATTACCATCAGTAGACACACCCTCACCACTAATATTTTCCTTTCTGTCCTGTTGAAACTGTTCATCTCCTCCTTCCAACGACGGACTTCCAAGCCCAGAAAGACTACCTTCCTCCTCTCCAATCGGATCCTCAGGAATTATCCCATTTTGTCTCTCCCACACCTCCCTCCTGATCCTCTCCTCCTTGGCCTTCCTAACCCTCTCAATCTCCTCAACTCCACCACTCTTCTTCAATCTTCCCTCCTCCACAAAGTTGGTTAGTTCCTTCTTCAACGGATTCTGCATCCTAGTCTCCAACTCCTTCTGCCTCAGCTTCTCGGCCCGTTCAATAGCCTCCAGCCGATTCTCATGATTCGGTTGCAAGGCCCTCACCTCCCCCAACACCCCTTCCTTCGCATCCCTAGGATCCACAAAGGCGTTTTCCCTAATCGAACTCAACCCCTTGCTAAAGTGCCTTCCAGGCATTATCGGTCCCCCACCACCTCCCCCATTCTGCATTCCATTCGCCCCACCTACATCCTTCATTTGTTCCTTGGTGGCCTGCTCAACCAAGGCAAAAGTCTCAGATGCCTTCTCCAAATCATCCCTCAAATCAACAATCAAGTCCTCCATTACCCTCAATTCGTCACGGCCCTGGCACACATCCTCCAACTCCTTCTCCCAAATCTTGGTCCACACGGGTTTCTCCCTCTTCATGTACTCCTCCATCTTGTTGAGCTCCTTCGTCAGCTGAGTGATATCCTTCGTCACACTCTCCAACTGTCTCGGCAGCGGCCTGACGCCACGGTGAACCACATCCTTTCTCAAATCCTCAACAAGGTCCTGCAAGTCATCCACCTTGTTGACCAACCGATCGCTATCCGTGTTAAGCTGCTTGCGGCCGCTAATAACGTACGCCCTGCCCGAATCGCCTTCAATTTCGGGAACAGAAACCTTGGCAGCAGTCATCTTGACGCTGTTCGCCTTGGCCCTCAGAGCAGACATTGACCCTTGAACCTCGCTCTGGAAGTTGGAATAAGTCTGTCTCAAAACAGCCAAGTCCCTTCTCAGACTCTGAATCTCAGACAACTGCGATGTGCTCAACTTCTTTGAAGACACCGGAACAGCGCCCGCAGCCTTTGGAGACCCAATAGCGCTCTGTGCGATAACAGTGGGAGGTGCAGCAGCGAGCCGAGCAACGTCCTTTGCCGTCTCCTGCTGTCGCTCCGACACTCTCCTCAGCGCGGCGCCTTGGTCATCCATATTCTGCCTAACCTCTTCGACAATCTTCTTGAGCGATCCAATGCCCTCGTCAATGTGCTTCTTTACCTCGTCCAGAGCCTCAACGTTGAGCACAAGCACGGTCCGGTCCTTAATATCCGAGAGATCCTCCAGCTCGTGCCTTACACCAGAAATGGGATCCTGAATATAGATATCCGGCAGGTCGGACCCATTCTGCTGGGTATTCCACGAAAATTTCTCAATAAATGCGAGTTGCAACCTTCCGATTGACAGCTCATCATACCCCTCGGGCAGGATAAATTTTTTAACCTTGGATTTATACTGCAGGAAAAGGGTCAATTCTTTCGTTGCAGGTGGCGAGTTCTCCATCATGAACGAATTCGTAGGCTTGTCAGGGGTTGGCGCTCTCGCAATTGACGGGGCTTTTCCAAGAGACTTTGCTGACGCTGCTGGCTTCTCTTCCTCTTCATCTTGCTGATTCACGCCCGTAACGGGGTATGGATCAGAAGGAGGTCCATTCAAAGTTGCACTTGGTCTGTATTTGTCTTCTGGTGATCTCGATTCTGGTAATTCTGGCCGTGATGCCGAAGACTCACCAGCAGAGCTTTCCTCTGGTTCCTCCGAAACCCTGCTGGGAACCCGCACCGGGGAAGAAGCAACTTCGAGCGGCACCGCACTTCGTGACGACTTGTTTCGCTGATGTCGAACACTGTCTCTGGTCTGCATCGCCCGCATCGACTCCCTGATCTCTCCTCGTCCACGGTTCGGTATCGGGGTTGTTTGGGTCGGGAGCATAGGAACCCCCTGAACACCAACGAGCTTGGAGATTTGGTATGCCGAGTATCTCCGCGAGGCTCTTCTTTCAAGGTCACCACCCCGCTGTAGTGCTGCCAACGCGCTCTGCTGAGACTGCTTTGGGGGCGGCGGGGGAGGAGGGAAGTTATCCAAATCAGCCCCCGAAGGCCCCGAAGGTATCGTCTCGTCGCCAGGGTATGGGGGCAAAACTGGAATATTCTGCATCGACTGGCTAGACATGCTCGATTGCTCCGAGTTGATGGAGCCGCGGGACTGCTCTCGTTGAGACTGGACACGGCGCGTAGGAGAGCCGTTGATACCATAGGGCCGTCCATCCTCTCGTTGACTCTGCGGCCTGTATCCCTCCTCGATGCCTTCATTAAGCAAGGTGGTGAGTCCCGAGTTTACGCTGCCCGTTGTACTGGTGCTTGTAGTTCGGCCGGGGGGTT